CTGAGGGGCATGGAATCGCCTCGGGCCGCCTCGCCGCCGGCTCCGCTCGCCCCTGGCCCCGGAGGGAACGCGGCTGGGGAGAGAGGTGGGGAGCGGCCGGCTGAAGGGGAGACCGCCGGGGCTGGAGGCGACCCCTGGGCCTCTAGGGGTGCGGAGGCTTTGGACGTGCGGAGAAGGGGAAGGAAGGGCCTCCAGGTGGAGGGGCTGCGTGGGTCCGACCTGGGACGTGGGGAAAGTCGGGCCCAAGCACTCCCTGTCAGGGTCCTGATCCGCAGACCACCCCCTTTCCGGCGTGCTTCTCTCCCTCTCTCTTCTCCGGATGGGAAAGTTGAGGCCGAGTGGGAGCTGCGGTGTGCTTGGGAGAGGCTCTGGCTGGGAGGTCCACTCTGAGTCCACTGCGCTTCCTGCTAGGGGAGTCTCCGGGCCTCAGTTTCAGAATCTGACACCTGCGGGGAGAAAGTCCCACCTCCTTGCCAGACTCAGCTGAGCCAATAGCTCTGAGAGGGTTAAAAGCCACCTCCCCTACCCCCACCCTTTCTCAGGTTCAGGACACCCTTTCTGTCTCCTCCAAATACTGAGTGACTACTCTGTGAAAGCCCCTTGGGGTCTCTGGAAGCCCCTCATCGGAACACCCTGCAGCACTGCGGTGCACCCATTCTGGCGCCCTGCCCCTCCCCGACTTCTCCAGTTGCCAAGGACTTCCCCTTTGTTACCTCCTCCCAAAGAAGGGGGAGCCACCCTGCCCAGGGTGACGAAGCAGGGCCCAGGCTGGCCAGGACTATCACCTCCATGCCCATGTCTGCACTCCGTGTTCCCACCGCCAGGTCCTCTAGGAGAGTCTGCAAATCAGGCCCAAATAAAAAAGAAAAGGAGAATCAAGATGGAACCCCATCCATTGTTCAGTCTTCTCCCAGACACATTGCTATTGCATTGGGTGCCTGTCCCTGCTTGTCTGCTAGGGCGTCTCAGTATTAGAGGACAAACTCCGAAGTGGAAATTCTTTAAAATGTGTTTTGTTTCCTTGTACCCATCGAAGCCCTGTAGCTGCCTGGGCTAGTGGGCTTGCTCCCGGTGAGTGCGAGGGTCCCACGTCCCCAGTGTGTGCAGGGTTGGCAGAATCTTTCAGGGTAACTTACTCAGAACATCAGGAAGTTGTGACCCACCCCATCACTGAATCTGTCTGGGCCCGAAGCTCCCCAAATCCCTCCCCCAACCCCTTCCCCCAGCTGCTGCACTTCCAGGTGGGTTAGGGGATGGCTCCACCTTCCACCTGGCCACCCAAGCTGTGCAGGCTGTGCTCTCTGGAATGCATTTCCTCCCGGCCAGGTACCTTCTAGGGGTGTCCTCGACTCCTGTTGGTTGACCTGCATTTCATTGTTTCACATCTGCTCTCCAGATTGGAAGCTCCTGGAGGAAGGAAACTTGCCTGAAGCCTAGTGCCCAGCCTGACACAGAGTAGGTGTTCACGATATTTTGCTTGAATGAATTAACTGAAAGAAGAAGGAGAAAGAAATTCCATATTCACGTCGCTTGGGGATAACTAATGTTAAAATTTGCTTTTTTGTCAGGCTTTTTAAAAATCACTTTGGTACATACTTAAATATCTTGTCCATATAAATGTTTCAAATTCCTCACCTTTCTCAAACATTATTTTTTAATATTTTTCAATGCTTAGGTATTGTTACATCGTATTTAGTTATTGGATCTCATTTGACATTTAGGTTTGGGGTTTTTAAAAAATATTTGGCTCTTTTAGATTATGTTACATGGAGTTTATACATAAACTTATACACTGCCAGATTTTTTTCTGGAATGGAATTACCTGGTGGTCAGTGCATATGAACCTCTGAAAATGGTCACACCTAGAGCAAGCCAGCTGTCTCTCCAGAGGGCCTGTACCATTGCGTACTTCCTCCGGCTGTGAATGTGCATTTCTCGTTATTTCCTGGAAATACTGGGTCAAAGAGTGTGAACATCTAGGATCTTTGTGTGTCTCTTAGTTATTTGTTTGAGCTCATCAGTGAGATATTTGCCCCTTGTCTGGTCTCTTTGCAGCAAAGATCTTCTCCCAGGTTATCATTTGGCCTTTATTTTTGTTGCATGATGGTGTGTGTATTTGAGGAGTGCATTTTTAATTTTTATTTTACTTTATCTGTGTGTGTGCTTTTCGATAAGGGAGACTTGGCTGCATTTTTAAGCTGATGGGAAAGAGCCAGAAAAAGGAGTGGCTGCAGCTCCCCGCTCCCCCAGAGAAGGAAGGGCAGGCTGATAGAATGAGGTCCCAGAGGATGCAGGAGGTAGGAGGGGTCTGGAACTGGTCCAGAAGGACCTTCTGAGCTGGTGAGGACAGGAGGCGTGAGGGAGGACGCTGGGAGGGCACCTTATGAATTGGCTTTGATCTTCACAGTGGAGAGAGTGTTCTGGACCTGGGTCCCCAGCTCCCTGTGCTGTTTGCCAGCCTCATTCCCTTGGGCTCTCCCTGTTTCCCTGGGAGGTAGCAGGTGTTATCATCCTCCACTGACAGACTCCAGAGGGTGGGGAAGTGCCTTGCTTAGGGTCAGTCAGGTGATGAGTGGCAGGGCTGGCTCCCCCAGCACTAACCGCAGGCTTCTGGGAATCACTTTCCTCTCTGAGCCTCCATCTCCAGTAGGCGCCAGGAAGCAGTGTCCATCTTACTCTCTCTCACTTGGTGAGTGAGTGTCCCTTCCTCTCCTGTCTGCCTCAGTTTGTCTTCCCTCTGGACAGAAACCAGTGAGTCCGGAGCTTCCAGCTCCACAGAGTTGGCCAAAGGACTAGGAGAGTCCCTTCCCTTCCTGGCCGGTGCCGCACACCCTCCCCTGTGCCCACGCTGGCCCAGGAGCCAACTCCAGCAGGAGCACACAGCCTTCTGGATATCACACCTGTGCAAAGTCTGAGTTGCTAGGTGGACAGTCACGTGACAGTACAACCGGCAAAGTGGTCTTCACATTCCATGAACAGGCTTGATTTGAAAGAGCAGAAGCCACTGTCCCAGATACAGAGCCCAGACAGCCTCCACCCCTGGCCCTACAATTGTGTGTAATTTTTATTTGCTTCTTCCTGCCGGTCTCCAAGGCAGTCCCCCTGGGTCGAGGGCGGCCTTCCATCGACTGAGCCCCTACTAGGTGCCAGACACTTTGTTACCTGAACTGTTTTACCCTCTGGGCCATCCTGTGCTGTCATTCCCACTTTACAGATCAGGGGACTGAGACTCAGAGTCAAGAGCCTCTTCTTGACCACAGTGGGATCTGAGCTCCAGGCCGCAGTGGCCTACCTGACCTGAGCCCTGACGAACTTGGCGGGACTGCAGGCAGACTCCTTTCACCTGGCAGAGGGTGTTTGAATCCCAGCTGTGCCTCGGTTTCCTCAACTCTTAAACTGTAGTTCATAACGAGAGGACCTGCCACACATAGCTATTGGGAGAATTAAACCAGTTACTGAATGAAACCTGCTTTGACTAATGGCTGTGTGTGGTAAGCCCTCAGAAAAGATTCACTATTGTTATTATTAAACCAAAATGACTCCATCCTGACAGGGAGCTTTTAATAAATGTTGACTCAGCCACATCCAACCCTTCTGTGACAAGAGAATGGGAAGGTGAGCCCGTCCTGACATGGAGAAAACTTGGACTTCTTGGATGCCTTTGAACCCTTCTTTTTTTAATTATTAATTAATTTAGGGGGGAGGTAATTAGGTTTTTATTTGTTTGTTTGTTTGTTTGTTTATTTATTATTTTAATGGAGGTACTGGGGATTGAACCCAGAACCTCGTAAATGCTAAATACATGCTCTACCACTGAGCTATACCCTCCCTGCTAAACCCTTCTGGACACAAGTGAGGGATCTGTATCTAAAACCTTAAATTACATTTCCTTTGACCAAGGGGTGCATTTCTAGGAACCAGTCCTATGGAAATAATTAAGGATGTGTTCAAAGATGTGAGTGCTAAGATGCTCACCATGGGTATTGTCCACGTAAGCCAAAAGACAGAAGTCACATTTCCAGGAGCCAAGCTGGGAACGAGGTGAAATGAAGGATGGCACTGCCGGGTGACGAGGTCCAGTGTAGCCCCGGAAAGTCAGGGTGTGGAGCTGTGTTTATAGACATACCATGAAGGACATCGTGTATATTTCCAAACAATTTTATTCAGGTGTGATTTACAAGTCATTGCAAGCATCCAGTCCGATGAGTTTTAGGAATGGGTCTGGTAGTGCAGCTACAGGGCCCCTGTGTATTTTTCAGTGAAAAATAAAGCGAGGCATAGAACAGCGTGTGTAATAGGATCGCCTTTTGTGCGTCTCCTGCCCGCGGTTCTGTGTAAACACCGCTCTGTGAGTGGGGGGGTGGGTATCACACTGGGAAGGACTGGGAAGAATAAAGCAAAATGCTGACACGTCACATGCCCTCGCCTCGTCTTCAGTGGCTCCACACTGTCTTCAAGACAGAGAGCAAAGCAGGAGGTGTCACTGCGGGGTGGGGACTGGACACCTCCCCAAACCTGCAAATACATGTCAGCCCTCGTAAGACTGGGAGCAGGCAGCCCCGCCAGCTGTGCTCTGTCTGCGTATACATCGTGGAAATACATAGGCAACAGTCAGAGGTATGAAGAAAACCACAACAGCATTTTGGTGGATACTTGGCAAATGGCAATTTATCTTACCTATTGTGGTTAGGAGGTTGCCGGGCAGGGGAAGGTGGAGGGACATTTTGGAAGAGGGAAGCACATGTTTCCGAAACTTGGAATTCCCAGAGCTGGTGGGCTTGAGCAATAGGGAGGAGTTGATTTTGCTTTCAGGTTTTCACCATCATTTGCAAAGGCATGGAGGGTACTGTGACAGCTCACCTTCACCCCTCCCCACTCATCTGGTGATCACACATTTATGATGTGCCTGCTGTGTGCCAGGCCCTCCCTAATTTAACGTCATTTAGAGTCTCAGGCAGGGTGGACAGTGTCTGACACAGTGCCCACTTTCCTCTGATCTCAGTTCACTCCAAGGCCAAATTCACCTAGTCTTTCCCCATAGGACTCACCCTGGGGCTCTGAAGGTCTGCCCGGGTCTAGGCTGTGGGTGAAATGCAGGGTTTGGGGTGAGTGCTGCACACACACACACACACACACACACACACACTCCTTTGGAAGGTAGCCACGAGCTCCTGCCGTGTGCCAGTATGTGCAGCAATGGGGACCCAGTCCACTGGGACAAAATCCAGGTGACTTTCTGGAGGTGGCTGCTCTACTCACCTAGGTCAGAGCAGACTGAGGAAGGAGGGTCTGAGACTTGGGGACAGACATACCTGTGTGCAAATCCTGCCTCCCACCTTTACTAGCCAAGCAGCACCTTTCCTCTGCACATTAGTTTTCTGTCTGTAAAAGGGGCCACCGTGGTGGACTTGAAGACACAGTAAGGTGAAGGACGAGCAATGCCTCGTAGGGCACCTGACACGTGGTGTGTTCTTGGCAGACAGCAAACTTCCCTCCTCTTATGGTTAGGAAGTTCCTGGGTGGGGGAGCATGGAAGGACATTCTGGAAGAGAAATTAGCATGATGCAGAAACTTGGAATTCCCGGAGCCTGATGGTTTGAGCAATACAGTGGATGTCAGCTTGGCTGGTCTGGAAGTCTTGGGCCTGGAGAGGGGCAGGGCTGAAGGGAAGTGCCCACAAGGCCTCAGCAATGTGGGGTCTGGGAGCCTGCTTGGAGCTGAGGCAGTAAGCCAGGGAGAGGAGGCTGGGGTGGTGGGTCCCAGGACAAAGAGACGGCGAGATGGAGAGAGCTGATCTGGGCTGTGGCCGTGGCACCAATGAGGGAGTGGTGGTGGTGGGGGTCTGTTCAGAGAGGGGCTCTCCCCCTATTTCTCTGCCCTGCACCTCCCTCCCTGGATTATCACAACAGCCTCATAACTGCTTTCTTGTTACCACACATCCCCTGTGGTTCAGTCTCAAAAAGCAGCCAGATCTTAAAGATTTCTTTAAATCCTAAGTCACCTGCTAGCCCTTTCCTCCTCAAAATCTCTCAATGGCACCCCCTCCCAATCAGCAATCCAATCCTCCAGTGTCCCTCAAGGGCCCCCCATGGTCCAGTGTCCCCTTATCTCTCCTGTCTCCTCTCCTGGTACCTTCATCCTCCCAGCTGATCCATCAACACCTCAGGCACACATGCCCCAGGGCCTTTGCACTTACTGATTTCCCTCCCTGGACACACTTCCCCCAGATATCCATATGGCTTGTGCCCTCATTTCCTTCCAGTTGCTGCACAAGTGTCAGCTTTTCAGAGAGACCATCCCTAACCATTCTGTATAAAGTGGCACCCCGTCTCCCAGTCCAGTTTCCCTGAGAGTAAATGTGTGGGTGTCCAGACTCATGGTGACTTACAGCTCCCTCAGCTGAGCAGAAAGCTCAAGGAGGGTGACTTCACCCTGCTCCTGAGAAACCAAGCCCA